ATTTTGTAGAAAATCAATTGAGAAAAGACAAATGGGTAAAAGTTTCAGCTGAAGTTGAAGAAGTTGAAAAAAATGTTGAAGACATGATAAGAAATGAAATAGAAAATAAAATTAAAGAAGGTGTAGAGTTAAGAAATATAGAAACTACAATAAGAAAGGATATAGAGGCTATAGACAAAAAGAAGATAAGTATAATTAATCTTGTTGAAGTTGTTAGATCTATGGCATGAATTTTTTATATGAGAGAACATATGTGAAAAGAAGATCTTATATATTTGTTTGATAAAATGCGAGAATTACTTCCACAAATCAACCCAAGCTTGAAGAACTTCTTCAATCAACTTTATTTATTAGCTCGGCCATTTAAATATTGCAAGCAAACAATAGGGCATATGAAAAGATTAATAGTTTTTTTATATTATCTTCTTGCATTATTAAATAATTCAAAAATTAATTCATTTAAATTTGATTTAGCATATTATTTAGATTTTGTAGGTACAAACAACGAGAGTCTAAATACATTAGCTAATATTAGTATAACTACAACTGCAAGAGCAGTAGATTGTAAAAAGAAAAAAATTTCAGAGACCCATAAAGAATATGTAGAGAAGACTCTTAAGAATTGTTCTGAAAATTCTTTCATATTGAATATTGACAATTATCATAATATTTACACTCCACGGCAACAACCTGACACTACTAATATGTTTTGGGCAGCACATATGGCAACAATTATAACGAATTCGTGCCCTATACTAGCTATATCACATAACAGGACACTCAATCTAAAAATTGTTGACAATGATAGTGTTCCAAATTAAAAATTGATTAATCGATTAATTAATCGAATTGGCAACTAATCAATTGATAATTTTATTAGACAACTAATCGATTGTCAATGATTAATCAATTAACTAGCTAATCGACTAGTTAATTAATCGATTAATTAACCAATTGACTTGTTGTTTTATATAGTATCATACATTGATCTTGTAATTAATGTCTATGCAATTATAACCAAGCCATTTTGATATACCAACTAGTCGTTTGGTCAATTAATCGATTAATTGACTAATTGATTAATTGATTAGTCAATTATAATCAATTTTTAATCAATTTTTTAAAAAATTTTTGACCAACTAATCGATTGCATTTTTTGGTCCAATTTGTAACACTAGACAATGAGCTAATTATAAAGCATCTTGATGAACGATTTATAGCCAATCTTGGAATTTCTTATTATGATTGTGTAAAAGGTAAAGGTTTTAATAATGATCTTATAGAAAAACTAATATTGCATAGTTATAATGACAAGTTGGCAGAAAAAAAAAGCAATAGACATATACAAAATGCTATCCTTTTTGATTTTGTCAAAAGTAACTTGAAGAGTGTTGAAAATTATATGAAAGCTCTTCAAATTGTATATGATTAAGAACTGATAAAAGAGTATTTTTCTAATCACATAATACTGATCATTGCGAATTGGCCTGGGCAGTTCTTTATCTGCAAAGCTATTGCATACCGGATTCTTCTCAACAACAAAGTTATTCCTCACTTCATTACAGCATTTTTGCCTATGCTAGAGCTCCTTCATATTTCATTAAATAGTTATAAACTTGTTTTTGACAAATATTTACTTTTGTTCAATAATATTTACAAAGGTATTTTTGAAGAAAAAAATATTCTTGGTAAGACACCATGACCATGATGAATTGATTTGATTCTTTATATTATATGCATGGCCTGGCTTGAAATAGTTGATTTTGTTTATTTAAAATTTGAAAATGCTTGTAAAAATATAGAATTTTTATATTTAACAGATCTTTTGAGTAATTTAATCCCTTTAGTTCTTGACATCTATGCAGTACATCATCATAAAGATAACTAGCTGGCTTACAAAGAGGCTTGTATGCACTGCTAGAATGATCTTTTTCTTTGATTTGATCGAAAAAATTACAAATATGCATCTTTAATATTTTTTTCAGATATTTTTTTTTGGATAGATACTAATTACCCATTGATGGATATGATTACTAATTGACTTGTCTTTTTAAGCGATTGTCCCATAGAGCTTGTTCACAGTATTATTCGATAATATACGGCGAAGTTTTCTGAAGCAGAGCAATTTCAGAAAGAGGCTTGTTTTATTTTTCAGCACCACGAAAATAATGCTTTTTGAAAATATTTTGTTGATTCTGTCAAATATTCTTATAAGCCCAAGCAATTGCACATACTTTTTCGAAAATGTGCTGTATTACTTTTAGACTTATTTAAGAAGATATATCAAGTCCACTATCAGTATTCTTCGATTATTGATTCATCTAACAATATTAACATGTATAAGTTGTATTCTTTAGGCTACGAAATAACAGATCATCACTTTCTAAGAGGTTTTATTACCTCTAAGAAACCCTTTACAACCACTTTATATGATTACTTGAATTGTAATTGCGTTGATTATTTGGATTGTAGTAAAGTTCTTGCATATAGGTATGGTTACTATAATCAATGCTTAGAGGTATGTCAATTTAAATGCTTGATATGTTTGAATTATTTTAAGGATAAAATTAAAAAAAATGTTGAAGCACTAAAGGTAAGTTTGGTAAAAAAATTAGGCGATAATGAGTTTATTTATAAGGAAAGAGAAAATATAGTTGAGGATAATATAGATAATATCGAAATAGTGGCAGGCAGTGTTGTACATTTTAGATGTCCGAGCTATATACTTCAGATACAGACATTTTCAGACATTGTCTGATGTCTGAGTCTGAGTTATGTTCGAATAACTGGATTGTCACTCAGACAATGTCTGAGTAAAATATTTTGGACTCAGACATACTCGGACTCGGACATTGTCTAATATTCTAGTTTTGCATTATGAATTTTCAAACACCTACCTCAATGTAATTGGCAAGTGATTGAGATAATGCTCAAATACTACAATTTCCAAACAATCAACGGCATTGAAAATTATAATCAACAAATCACAGTAAAAATATATTTATAATATAAATTATAATGAATTATTAAAATATAAACCAGTATGAATCAGATGAAAATATTGGAATGGTTGATCTAAATCTTTAGCTTGTAAATATTTTAAAAATGCTTAGCTTATCTGAAATAACTACTATTAAATCTAAAATATCTAACTTGTTTGAGTAACTGAATCTTATATAACATTTAACTTATCTGAAGCTCTACATTATCACAGTTATTAGCAAGATATAACACATTATTACTTAATCGCTCAAAAATTTATCCAATCGGCCAAACAATCATTTGGTCAATCTTTTACTAAATGTCCAAAATTTATAAGAACAGCTATAATGCAACAACATATTTTGGTTACAATAATAGCTATATTCGACAACACCAAATTCTTAATAATAAAATAGATACATAACATATAAAAAACAATAATTTAAGCAATTAGAAGATATGTAGAAATATTCACATTAATTTTGGTTCTATTTGCTGTAAAAAGTTTCTATATAATACAAAGAGCAGCATAATTTTTTTTGGCAGTAACCAAATTACCCAAATTATAAAAAAAAAAAACAATAAATAAAAGAACACACATAATTGATTACTCTATCAATACTAAACTTTAGCCAATTACCTAATTTATTTCTATGCACAATGAATGAACAATACTATACAAGTCTGCTTGTCTACAAGATAATAATTGACACTTTTATATGTATATATATAAATAAGGATACTTCTTAGTGCGCTATATTTCATATGTTGCTATAAATTCTGTAGCCATGCAACTTGAAGTTGCCTGTGGTTATGTGTTAGGTGGATAATCCTACATAATGTCAGATTAGTATGAGACTTTGAGAAGTGATGAAATAAATATATGTAGTTATTATGTATGCGAGTTAGATATAAATAGCCCAGATGGAATGTTTGACTTGGTTTTTGTTATGAATATGGGATTAGTGATAAAAAGAATGAATACAAGGCATTCATTCATTGTAAAAAATCTGTAGAAATATAACTTTAATGAAATATATCAAGATGGTTATTGTTAGAATACCCGGACTTATCAAGTTTTAAGAGAAATATGTAATATTAAAGAAGCTAGACATAAATAATCCAGATGGAATATTCTGGCATGGTTATTGTTACGAATATAGGATTAATATTGAAAAGAATGAGAATAAGGTATTTATTCATTGTAAAAAAAAAAAAAATTTGTAAACATGAATGACTTTAATGAATATATCTGGTTATTGTTAGTATACCCGAATTTATAAGATATTTAAAGTTGAAGAGGGATATGCAATATTAAAAGAGTTAGATATAAATAATCTAGATGGAATATTCTGGCATGGTTATTATTACGAATATGGGATTGGTATTGAAAAGAATGAGAATAAGGCATTCATTTATTGTAAAAAAAAAAAAAATTGTAGATATGAATAACTTTAATAAATGTATCTGGTTATTGTTAGTATACCCGAATTTATAAGATATCTAAAGTTGAAAAGGGATATGCAATATTAAAAGAGTTATACATGAATAATCCAGATGGAATATTCTGGCGTTACTATTGTTACGAATATGAAATTGATGTTAAAAAGAATGTGAATAAGGCATTCATTCAATGTAAAAAAACTGTAGACATAAATGACTTTAATAAAATATATCAAGTTTGTTATTGTTAGAATACCTAAATTTAGAAGATGTTTAAAGCTTGAAGAGAAATATGCATATTAAGAGTTAGATATGAATAATCCAGATAGAATATTTTGGCTTGGCCATTGTTATGAATATGTGAAAAGAATAAGGCATTATTCATTGTAAAGATATAAATAACTTTAACAGAATATATTAAATTAGTTATTAGAATACCAGAATTTATAAAAAATGCTTAAAGTTCAAAAAGAAATATTAACTTTTCTTCTCATATTTTATATAACACAAAGTCTCATTATTTCTACTTTAAGAGCCAACACGTCAAATTTCAACTATGCCATTATCAATATTGTTAACCTAACACATTATTAAAACTAATAAGAAATCTGATAAAAGTAATATTAAGGTATATTGCAAAGTATATGTTGAGGCATTGGGTGAGAAAGATAGTAAAAAAGGAAATTTTCCTAACAAGACAGATAGAATAGTTCATCATCTAAAAAATTGTATACATTTTGTAAGAAAAACAATAGCAGAAGAACGAGCAGAAATTTTTGCACTTTCTAATAATGAAGAGATTTCAAAACAAAAATAGCCTGGTAAATAAAATTTTATATTATTTTTTATTCACTTTATGCTACAGTATAAAAGTAATATATAAAATTTTTTCATAGCTTCACCTAATTTGTCATATGATACAGCATCCAATTCTTCAAAACCTTTATATAAAATTGTACAATCTTCTTCTTATAGACCTCTTGATGATTATGCAGTTTGACTATTGTCAAAACAGGATAGAGAAACATTCAAAATTCTTTTGCTGAGATTAACGGTATCTTGTGGGTAGGCTCTCAGCTGGGTTAACAACCCTGAAGCAAAAGAATTGTTTCAATTTTTAAATCCCCAAATCAAGCTTCCAGACCATAGAATTCTTGATAAACAAATTTTAAATGCAGCTGTTTCTAAACAAAATAAAACAATGCTTAATGAACTTAGTCAAGATAAAATTGGCATTACATTGTCATTTGATAGGTAGACAAATGTAAAAAATGAGTATTTATTAGGTATAATGGTTACTACTTCTGGAGGCAAACCACACGTATGGAAAGCAATCGATATTAGCCTGGAAAGAGAAACATATATTGAAGTAATTGAAAAAACCAAAGCAATGATAGATGAGTTAAAAAATATGGAAGTAAAGGTTTTAGCAGTTGTCACGGATAGTGCTGCACTATATATAGCAGCAAGGTATGATTTTATAATAGATGTTCTCAAGCTTAGCAAATCAGAGAATAAATTGATTAAATGATCAAGTTAATGCAAGTAATAGTTATTATTTTTAAATAAATTTGATCATTAAATATTATTTTTTACATTATATTTTAAGTTAAAAATAAATAATAATTTAATTAAGTGGGTTTGTGATAAATATAGATGCGAATCGATTTTTTTGAGTTTTTATTGAGTTATACAAATTGTATAAAGACACTTATTATTTTATTAATCCATATTTTGCTAATGCTTGATGTTATCTTAATTGTTATCAACTATACTAGAATTATTCAATCTACTATTTTGTATATTATTCGAAATATGAATGCTGCCAAGCAAAAACTAATTTTTTTTATTTTGAATTTAATATTAGACGGAGATTAAGACTTTCTGAAAGAAGTATGGTATTTTTACTTTGCTTTGCTCACCAGATAAATTTATGCATTGGTGAAGTTTTTAAAGAATCTACTGAATTAAAAACAACAATAGACTGGGCAATTCGATTAGCTACATATTTAATAATGCAAACAACAAATATTTTATTGCAAAGCTGCGAGATCAACAAAAATTAACTTACAATAAATATTATGGGATAGCAGTGCTAGGGAAAACTCGATAGAATAGTTACTATTCAGTAGCAATCAGTCTTTTACAAAGTCAACAGGTGTTGAAGGTGTCAAAATATATTACTTGGCCTTTATAATAATTTTAAAATTTTTTTTTTAAAAAAAAATTATTTTTAGTATTTAAAGTTTTTTTTTTTAAATATTATTAAAGTTAAATTCCTCTTATACATTTTTAGATTCTTGTGATAAACCACCAACCACCACTGGTCCAAACTCGGCAGCGAATAAGAGAAAATCTAACTATAAGTCAAGATATCTTTGAAATTATTAAGCTAGTTCTTTTTGAACAAACTTAATGACAATTGCAGATATTTTGTACTCATATTGTAAAATATTAAATATTTTATAGCATGATAATGCAAGATTAATCTATATAATGCATGGTTTTGCATATTTGGTTCAATTTTGAGATAATTATGAGAATCAACAACTTGCTGAAAAAATTTTAACACGATTAAGTAAAAGGTGGGAAAGCTGGGAACAACTGCTTTTAATTTTATCATGCATGTTGTATCCAAAGTATCGAATCATTTATTTTAAGGATAAATCAATAATAAATTATACATGACTAGGCAAATATTTAATTTATTATTATAAAGCCTGGTCTGGAAAAGAACCCACCTGTATTCTGTGCAAATTTAATGATTTTTCAATGAAAATTTATCTATTCGATGATAAAACATATAACCATTTTAATGATATTTAGAAATATTGGAAGTTTGTTGCACCTTTAACAAAGAAATTAGGAATAGTGGCTTGCAGACTATATAGAATATGTGTCAATGCAGCTGCCGTCGAACATCTTTGGAGCTGTATAAGATTCTTGCAAACAAATCAAAGAAATCGATTAGCAGTAATTTGTTTTTTTTTTATTTTTCTGATAATCACAATACTTTGTAGTTAATTTTTTATACTGATCACCAGATTTTTATTTTATTAATTAATAATCAATTTTTTTTTTTTCTTACATCACATTATTATTATATATATATATATTTTTTTTTTTTTTAGTTATCAAAAGCTCTTGATATGTCTAAATTGAGAGCAGAGATAACATGAAGTCATCATCAAAAGTCAGATTTCACTGAATTACCTCCTCCAACTTTTCATGAAGTAAATATGCAGAATCAAACTAATGAAGATAATAAACCTTGTGAAATTGAACATGAATTTGAATCTGAAAATGAAACAATAATTGAAACTAAATCTGAAAAACTTAAAGAACCTAAATCCGGAGAACCTGAAGAACCTGAGAATGCAAGTGACGATTTTGCCCCCATTGAAGACTTGGACAAAGAAAAAATAGTAAACTCAAGTTCCTTGGAGACTAAATTTAGCCAATTTTTAGATGTATGGGTAGAAATATCAGCAGATAAGACTGAGGAAGTGATGGATACAGAAAATGAGGATAAAAAAATTTTATCAGTTAATGCTGCTGTTCATCTAGCAGTCAACTCTAATGCTAAATGGGATTTGATTACACTTTTTAATAAATTAGAATTGCCATAATTATACTTGTTCAATTTTATGATTTTAATAATTTATATATTTTATTTACAAGTCATAAATTGCATGCAGATGTATTTGGTTTTACAAAGCTGGTTGTAAAATAGGCACTATAACAAATATTTTTTATCTTGTCAAAAAGTTTTGCCTATTTTATTTAAATATAAAATAGTATATATCTATATACTTTTGTCTCTTAATCACAATGACTTTCTATTTATTAATGAAAAAAAAAATCAGTTTTAAAAGAATGTGGAATAATTATAGATTCTTCTGATACTTTATTTAATTATGCAAGATTTTTGAAAGTTCTCGATTGATTTAATTAGTTTTTAGATTAATTCACAAAATTCAGGCCTGTCAAATAATTGATTGTGGTGGCAATATATGAGTGAAAATTTATAGTCAGAACATTGTGATTATTTAAAATAATTATAAGTAAACTATATAAAACTAATAAGTAACTTATAAGTAACTCAAAGAATTGATTAAAATATCTTTTTTAATAATAGTCACACCAAATCTTGCATATAATTGGTCCAAAATTTTTTTATTCATAATAAAAACTATAAAAATTGGATATTTTTACCCATACAATTAATTGCAATTTTTCTGAACTCAATTAATTGATTAGTGGCGTAGCTACAATGGGACAATTAATTACGACTGTATGCAGCGCTCTATATGAAATTTAAAAGAAACTTAAGTTGATTCTAAATACAATATTGTAAAGTAGTAATAGTTAAAATGAATTATGTATTATAATAAATTATTAATTATTAAATATTTAAATATATATATATATATATATATATATATATATTTTTTTTTTTTATTATTATTATTATTTTGCTTATTTATTCTTTACGATTATTTTAACCCAAAAATAACAGACTATCTGTTCTTATCTCATAATGCATTTGACGACTTACTTTTCAAATATCTTGACGGCAAGTCAGTTAATAGACAATATAAAACCTTATTACATGTGATTCTAGCAAATACAATGCAAAGAATCATTATTAGGCAAAAATAAAATATTTGCTATACATGATTTTGGAACATTAACAGACTCTAGAATTCAACTTATCAAAGTTGATTCAAACTTACTTGTGTTTCCTGTCGACAAGATATATGAAGTATTATGTAGATGCTATTTTAAAAATTCCAAATGCAAAAACATTATATAGACTTTAAGACAATAATTTAGTTTTCGTCTCATCCTTTATATCCAATTTTTAATATGATAACTGCTCTTCATAAACTTTATCTTAAAATAACTTAAATTCTAAAATAACTTAATTCGATGAATTGATTTAGAATTTATTTATTTTTGTTTAAGTTGAATTAGAATTTGGAATTCTATTACAACCTATATGTATTCAGAATCAACTTAAGTGAATTCTAAACCCACTACGATTCTGTTCTCACGTACAAAATATATACATGTGACAAATTGATTAAATATAATTGGTCTGATAATTTGATATTTGTCTGACAGGCAAATTTAATTGTCCAAGTCTGAGTCCAAGTCTGAGTCCGGTCCAAGTCCAGTCTGAGTGACAACACTGGTGGCAGGCGATACAACAATGGAGAAATTAGAATTTGTGAAAAAATCATTTTTTGAGTTGTAATTTTTTTTATTTATAAGTTAATAAATTGATAATTTTAATTTAAATTTTACACCTGCTTTTAATTATTTAATTCAAAAATTTATTAATTTGATTATTGATTGATCGAATTGTTAACTAATAATGACATAATAATATATAGCATAGCTAATTAGTAAAAGATATATAAAAAATAATATGTTGCACCAATAGTTTCTCAAAAATTGCTCAGATATTAGCGAACTAACATTTATTAAAATTCACTGTCACGTAATGATCATCTGAAATTTTTCTGTATTCATGTAACATCTTTGCAGACTATAATTTGAAATTTCTTTAAGTTTTTTATCAGATTTTTTTCAACTTAAAGACAAGAATATATAAGAATAAAATCGACAATAATTTACAACAATAACTCTAATATAAGAAATTATGTAAAGACAAATATTTTTACTATCTAACAACAAGAGAAATCATACTCAGTTGTCTTAAATGATTGTAAAAGTTATGTAATTATTTAAGTAGTTTTTAATATTAGTGAGCGTGAAAAGTGAAGTATAATTTTGGAATGAATACTTAAG